CGCGTATGTTTTTCTTATTTGTAGTAATAATAATTATAATTCATAATAATGATAACAATAATAATAATTATTATTACATATATTATTATATAATAATATATACAATAATATTATATAGTAATATATAATGATATATGCAATAATAATATATAATATATAATATAATATATTGTATATTATATATAATAATAATAATAATAATTATTATTATTATATAATATATAATAATATATACAATAATATTATATAGTAATATATAACGATATATGCACTAATATTATATAATATACAATATAATATATTGTATATTATTATTATTATTATTATTATTATTATTATTACAAATAAGATAAACAAAATAAGAAATATATTTTTTGAAATCACCAGATCGCTACCAAAATTTTCACACATGAAATATACATTTTTATACATAAAATAATTCCAACAATAATTATTATTTGCAACAATAATTGTGCATTATATAATTTTGAATTTTGCAGGAATATCCGCCGGTCTGATTCACGGTTTGTCGAACGCACCTCGTCGGCTCGTCCATGAGAACCACGGACACCGGCGCCATAACGCTCAAGGCGGTGCACAGTTTCCTTTTATTGCCGCCGCTCAGGCTGCTCACCCTTTTGTGAGCGTACTTCAGCAGATCTAGTCTCTTCAGCATCGACTCGACTGCCTGAAACAATTTTTCACGGGATTACGTCGCCTCCGCCCGGCGAAAAAGGCGGCTCGCGGAACGACGGCTACCATCAATTATGTATCGAGCCGGGGGCCGACTTCCGCCGTTGGCCCTAACGATTTCAAGAGCCGTTTCCGCTCCAGAACTCTCGGCGAATCGATCGCCCTAAATGCCCGCGATGTTTCGGGAGCGCGCGCGCGACTCTAAAGGAAATTTCGAAATTCGTTAAGTTGCCGAAACTTGCGCGGGTTACTTTTGCCGGCAAGGTTTTTCCTGCGGACGTTGCAATTTCGAGCCGGCAAGATGGACGTCTCGAGAACCGATCGTTCGATTCGAACGAATCTTTTCAACGGCTTCGCTGACGTACGAACTACCTCGAAATTCGCGTAACATCGGAGCATCTTGTTTAACGCTCGATTTACGGTACGCTAGAAGCGGCTGTTTCGTATTAGTTTATAAAAGTAACAATGGAACCGAGGGTATTATAGTAATAATATAGTAACAATGATCGAATCTAATGCGAGTGACCCTATTAAATGTGATTATACAGGGACCCTATCGAATTGCATAGGCGCAGTACTAGCACAGGGAAATTCACGGCGACTCTAAATTTGGCATTCTAGAGAGAATTTGCCGCACCTCTTTCTCGACGGAAAAGCTGCGATACTCGGACAGATTTTATCAAACGTACCAGCTTTCAGGAGGCGTGGAACAGAGGAAAGTGTGCTAGACTCTAGAGTGCTCGAAAATGTCGACGATTCTTCCTTCAGTTCACAGTCCATCAACTTAGCGATTTCTCAAAGTCGTTGGCGGGCATGAATCCTACGGAGCATCTTACATTCCCGACGAAATTTCCCGTGGAAAATCGCCGCACTCGAGCCTCGGTGCTCGTTGTTGCGACATGCCGGGACGTACAACCCCCTCCAAAAGTATTGGGAAGCCCGCTTGTTTGGTCACAAATTTTAAAAGTTGCGGTAATTTCGCCCTAATTCGCGCTCGGATTCCGCACAGAAATTGATAATTTCGGAAGAGAAGATACGATTATTTATTTTTCATTTTATATACATATACTTTTTATTTATATATGTTTTATTTTTTGTTATACGTATTTTATCTTTTTGTCACATATATTTTTATTATTTTATGAGCATTCTTATTATTTTTACCGATTGTCAATAACTATAAAAAATAAAATAGAGGAGATACGCGCGATATATATAGATAAGGGTGTCCCAAAAATGTCTCGCAATCCGAAAGTAGGGGATTCCTGAGATCATTCAAAGCAACTTTTTCCTCAGCGAAAATGCAATTCGCGGCTTCGTTTACGAGTTATTAACGAAAAACAGTGACCAATCGGAGGCGAGATCGTTTGGCGCGAGACGGCCGAGCCAATGAGCGGAACTGAGCTCCGTGCGCTCGTTGGCTGGGCCGCCGCGCGCCAGACGAGCTCGCCTCTCATTGGTCAGTGTTTTCCGTTAATAACTCGTAAACGAAGCCTCGGAGAAAATGTTCGCAAAGGAAAAAGTTGCTTCGAATGACCTCAGGAACCTCCCATTTCCGGATTGCGAGTCACTTTCGGTACACCCTGTCTATAAAACAAGAACTAAATAATCGTATCTTCTCTTCCGAAATTCTCCATTTCCGTGCGCAAAGTGAGCGCGAATTGCGGCGAAATTGCGGTACCGCGAACGACCCCAGAAATCCCAAATTTCCCGGAAGCAACATAACTTTCGGACACCCGGTGGAGCCGTCAGAGCTCGCGGGACCTGAAGCTAAAGTTTCGGCATAAATCAAGCGGTCTCACCTTGGGAACGTTGCTCAGCCCGCAGACTTCCCCGTGAATGGTCAGACACTGATGCGGACTGAGAAAACCGTCGAGGCCGTCGCTCTGAGGGCAGTAGCCGACCTCGCCGTTGCAGAGCGGACCCCTGGCGAGCTGCCGTCCGTTCAAGAGGATCCTGCCGGAGGTCGGGACGATCTCCGTGGTCAGCATCCGGAACGTGGTGCTCTTCCCGGCGCCGTTCGTCCCCAGCAGCCCGAAACACCTGCCGGCCTGCACGCCCACGCTCAGATTCTGCACGGCCACGTTCGTCCCGTACACGCTGCTGTACTCCTTCCGCAGCTTCACCGTCTGCACCACGTCCACGGACATGCCGCTCTCGACGCGCATCCGCTCCTTCGAGACGTCGTCGTCCTCCTCGACGGCCGCGTCCGGCGAGGCCCGCCGCCGGGCCCAGGCCGGCAGCAGCCGGCACTCGATCAGCAGGTTCAGCGAGAACAGGATCGTCCCGACGACGGCCAGGAACACGTAGTGCAGGCCGAGAAGGTCCCAGCCCAACGGGGACTGGTACGTGTCCATGTGGAATTTCTCGAGCAGCTGCGCCGTGATGTCGTTCCGGGATATCTGGACCAGAGCGTCGCCGAGGACGTACTGCGGGAATATCAGCAGAACGTTGTGCAACGTGTTCCGTATGTCCTCCGTCGTCTTGGTCTTGCCGAGGATGTCCAGCACGAGGATCGTCGCCAGCGAGGCCACGCCTATGAACGTGTTCACGCAGAACAGCACCATGTTCGAGAGACTCGAGTCGTTGAACAGCTTCTCCGTCAGGTGGCAGAACGGCAGGGCTGCCCACCTGTTCGGACGTTCGTTTCGCGAGGGGTGTTAATACTTTTCGTTTTAATCGAATTTCTCCTGGTCCGGAAATGGAGGGTTCCTCGGGTCGTTCGAAGCAATTTTTTCCTTTGCGAAAATACGATCCGTGGCTTCGTTTCCGAGTTATCAGCGAAAAACCAGCGGCCAATGAGAGGCGAGCGCGGCTAGCGCGAGACGGTCGAGCCAATCGGTGGAACTGGACTCCGCCCACTCGTTGGCTCGGCCGCCTCGCGCCAGCCGCACCCGTTTCTCCATTGGCCAGTGTTTTTCGTTGATAACTCGTGAACGAAGCCGCGGATTGCATTTTCGCTGAGGAAAAAGCTTCTTGAAATGACCCGAGGAACCCACTCTTTCCGGTTTGCGAAACATTTTTGTGACACAGTATATAACGAAATTAAAAGAAATTAAATTTAAAAATAGGAAGCATTCATATCTTTCCCGCACAGTGTAATAACAATAATATAATATATTAATACTAGTAATGATAACATAACATAGTGTAAATAATAATTTAAAAATCAAGTCATTTAGACCCCTCCCGGGTAGAAATAACCTCCGATCGTGCGGAGTGGCTCAGCCGAATGGAAAAGAATTTCAGTTCGAACGAGACTCACGCGAAGAGGAAGAGCAGAAGACAGATGCCGGCCAGATTGTGCCTGGCGACGTAAGCGGGCAGCCCGAATATCTCGAAGACAATCACGGCGAGGACGATCGACAGGCCAAACACCTGCAAACCGGGAATCGAATTTAAATCGGTCTCCCGGGGCCGCCACGTATCCCCCGGCTTCTCATTCCGTCAAACCACTCACGAAGAAGTCCCAGATTAACGCAGTCGTCCAATAGGTGACGGGATGGACGCCGGCCAAGAAGAGGATCCTCTTCTCCTCGGACAGCCTCTCCCGCACCAGCTCCTTCGATCCTTGAGCGGCGACCAAATTGAACGCGATTAGGAGCACCAGAGCCACGCCGACGTCCGCCACGTGCTGCAACCTGAAACGAGCGAATCGTCGGGATTTCCTCTTGCTGGCTTGCCGTCCGATGGCTGCCGAGATTTTTTAGTTGAACATTTACGGTGATATATATTATATTATATTATATTATATATTATATATATTATATATTATATTATATATTATATTACATATATACAGGGTGTCCCAAAAATGCAATTCGGAAATGTCAGTTATATTCCATAGATCATTTGGAGCAGCTTCTTCCTTTACAAAAATGTTCTCCGAGGCACCGTTAACGAGTTATCAACGAAAAACAGTGACCAATAAGAATCGAGTACGGCTAACGCGAGGCGGCTCAACCAACGAGCGCACGAAGCCCAGTTCCGCTCACTGGCTCGGTCGCCTCGCGCCGGCCGAGCTCGCCTCTCATTGGTCACTGTTTTTCGTTAATAACTCGTTAACGGTGCCTCGGAGAAAATTTTTGTAAAGGGAAAAGTTGCTTCGAATGACCCGAGGAACCCGCCACTTTCTAATTGCGAGACATTTTTGGGACATCCTGTATATATATATAATTCGGAAATAATGGAACATCGTTTAATACTGCCGACGTGTCCACGGTTTAATATTTCGGCTACTCGTTTTTCCAACAACCGTACAAAATCCGCGGTCCGATGATGACGCCATGATCTGGTGAAGGGTTAACGAATGCGGTTTGTAAAAGCAGTTTGTACTTGAGGGACCATCGAACGCGGGGCCGCGCGGCCCCCGAAGCTAGGCAAATCGCTCGCCGCGCAGCAAGGCGCGCAGCGGACTTCGAATCGCGCGAAATGTTAACGTGCAGCGCGGTTCGAATGCGACCGCGCCAGCAGTCACGTCGAGTTAATTAAAAGTAAACGCAACACGCGCGAGATCTCGTGGCGCACGGTCACCCGCGGCCGGTTTCGTCGACGCGGTAAGGCCGCGTCGGCGCGGCATCTGATCCGGTAATTGGATCGCGCTTATCGAAACACTGCAACGCGCGTAGAACGTTCGCTTTTCAGATTTTTTCCGGCGTCGTTCGGGGTTCGTTTTCGCGCACGGGCGAAACTGGGCCGCCGCTGCGCTTATGTACGATAATGTTTTAAAAAAAGCAAAGACAAATTTTGGATGAAAATTGGCCGACTTTGAGCGACGATAACTCCGCGAAAAATCAGCGCAGAACGATGACCCTCTGCTTAAATTAAAGCTTGAAACTTTTTCTTTAAAATAGCGTATCTGAATTTTATGTTTGATCCACCCTCGTGACTGTAACTATTTAAATGCGAGGCCATGTTTGTCATATTGAAAATCTTGATTTTTGCCAAGTTTGATAAAATGCACGGGCTTTATACAATTTTTCTCGGAGATACCGCTTACAGAGAAATAAAGTACGATCATTTTCCTTTAATTTAAAAAAAAAGAATCTCCGCTGCGATTTTTTTTCGCGAAGTTACAGCACTTTAAAGCGAACCTTGCATTTCTGGCATGAAATCAGAGTTTGCATTAATATGGGTTGCTTTGGGGGTGACTTTGAAGTGCTGTAACTTCGCGAGAAAAAATCGCAGCCACGTAACTTTTTTTTCAAATCAAAGGGGAAGGATCGAACTTTATTTGACCGTAAACGGCATCTCCGAAAAAAATTTCGCGAAGTTAGGGCACTTTATAGCAAACCTTGCATGAAATCAGAGTTTGCATTAACATGGGTTGCTTTGGGGGTGATTTTAAAATGCTGTAACTTCGCAAAAAAAAATCGCAGCCTCGTATCTTTTTTTTTCAAATCAAAGGGGAAGGATCGAGTTTTATTCTGTCGTAAACGGCATCTCCGAAAAAAATTTCGCGAAGTTAGGGCACTTTAAAGTGTACCTTGCATTTCTGGCATGAAATCAGAGTTTGCATTAACATGGGCTGCTTTGGGGGTGATTTTAAAATGCTGTAACTTCGCGAGAAAAAATCGCAGCCGCGTATCTCTTTTTTCAAATCAAAGGGGAAGGATCGAACTTTATTCGATCGTAAACGGTATCGCCGTAAAAAATTTGGCGAGGTCCACGCATTCCGCCAAACTTCGCAATTTTCAATACGACGAACACCGGCTCGCATTTAAAATATTACAGAAGTGTGGGTGCATCAAATTTAAAAACCAGAAAAGTCATCTTAAAGTAGAGGTTTCAAGCTTTAATTCGAAAAGAACTCATGCTTCCTACGACGATTTCCCGCGGAGAAATCTTATCATCAACGTTGACCAATCTTTATCCGAAATTGTTCTGCGCTAGAATTTCTTTCGAGCAGCATAAATAACAGCGCATAACCGAGTGCATTTTAAATTCTAGAGTATAACAGCCATAGAGCGGGCGTGGCGAGTTTTTAATGTTTGCACGCGCTTATCAAGCTCGCAGCTGCCCACCGCGGTGCACCGGTGCGTTCCTTCAGGGAAAATTGCTTTTTTCACCGGAATCGATAGCGCCGTATCTTGGAAGTACGTTTTCGAAGTTTCGATATGAAATTCAAAGTGCTCGAAGTTAGAATCGATTTTATCGCGCCCCGTGGCAGGGGCGTGTTAAAGTTTGATTGCCGAGGATACCGGTAAATTGTCCAGCGGACTCGAAATTTTACACACATTTCTCCGCCGTCTTATATATATTAACATCTTATCCATTAATTCGCCACTTTTCGGGATATATTCAAACGTTCGAAGCATCGCGTGCCACTGGATCACAAATTCTCTCCTCGGCAATGAAATTTTCTCCTCGAAGTGCAGAAATTTACACTCGTCGCGCGTAAAAAGTAGCGACCGTTGGCCATTTAAATTGCAATTTTAATAAAAATAGGAACATATTCTCAAATTTCAAGATGTCTAGAATATTTTGAGTCCAATCGACGGCGACGCTTACTCTGTGCTCGACGAGTATACTCGTCGTCGCTCGATTCTCGCGACAATTGTAGACGCGCGCTCTGAATAGAAGGCGTCGCGACGACGGATAAGAAGATCACGTGCTACTGTATCATAAATTTTCTCCTCGGCAATTTCGTCTCGAAGTCCAAAACTTTACGCTCGTCGCGCATAAAAAGTAGCGACCGTTGGCCATTTTTTCTTCTGACACTTATAGGCGCGCGCTCTGAAAAGGAGGCGCCTCGGCTAAGTGGTTAAATCTCTCTATAGACAGGTTTCCGGGTAAATAAAGTAAATCGAAAATGTCAACGCATATCGATTAAACGCTGAAAGATGCGGAGAACTTGACGCGACAACAGGTTCGCAATAAAAAAAATAGGAAAGCGGTCCGAAGAACGCTTATAAACGTGCCATTGGATCACAAATTTTCTCCTCGACAATTTCGTCTCGAAGTCCAAAATTGTACACAGGTCGCGCGTAAAAAGTAGCGAGCGTTGGCCATTTACATTGCAATTTTAATAAAAATAGAAACATATCCTCGAATTTCAAGATGTCCAGAACATTTCGAGGCCAATCGACGGCGACGCTGACTCTGTGCTCGACGAGTATACTCGACGTCGCTCTATTCTCGCAATTGTAGACGCGCGCCTTGAATAGAAGGCGTCGCAGCTAACGGGTTAACGGCGACGAACAGAAAGATCGCGAATTCTCGAGGCGCGGAGACCGGAAGCAAAGCGGAACTCACAGGGTGGTTCGGTTCAGTTGGTCGCTGGATAACTTCAAGGGATGGTTGAGGGTCGTTAAACGGCCTGGCACCCCGGACGCCCGTAAAATCGCCTCGTTTAGGGCGCTCAAGTAGGACGGCAGCGCGTGATGGCCCTTGTTGTTGTACCAGACGATGAACAACGGGTCGTCCTTCGCGTGCGACAACGACCATCCGCCGTATCTATAAAAATATCGAGAATGTCGATAATGCCGAAACGAGGCCGGCGTCGTCGTCGTTTTTGGAAACGTTCGAATAGTCGTTCGCTGGCTAAAATTGCTGGCTAACCTTTTCTCTATGTACGTTCGGTGGGTCGACACGATCCAATCGAGGGTCGGCCTGCCAGGCAGGACCTGCAGCAGGCCCTCGACAGCCTGCGACACTCCGTGACACACCTGTTGGCCGTCCAGACAGCTGCACGTTCCTGTGTCCTGATCGAACAAGGAATTACTTTTTATTGCGTCTGCCGGGACCCGCGATTGCTAGACCGTGGACTTGGCACCCGTGTATTTTCTGCGCTAACTGTTTTTTTTTCTCCAGACGAGGATTGCTTTTATTCCGGTTCGACGCTCGTTCGTTCGTTCGACAAATCAAAACTGTTTCGGGCTCATATTTTTTGGTCTCGCGAACGTGGTCCCGCGTTTAGAGGATTACAGAGGCAAGGGTGCTTCGTGCTGGAAATTTAGAAACGTTGGCTTACAGTGGAGATTACGAGCTTTAATTTCAGATAAAATTCATCGTCCTGCGATGATTCTGCTCGGAGTTATCGTCGATCGAAGTTCGTCGATCTTTATCCAAATTTTGTCCCTGCTGCAACTATTTCGAGCAGTGCGTTTAACTATAGCAAATTCTCCCCAATCGACGCACAGATCGCGCACGAGAGTGGACGATTTGGGAAGAGGAGACACGATTGTTCGAGCCTCGCGGCTCGTTTTTATAGCTCGTCGATCGTCAACGATTATAAAAACGAGGCGCGAGGCTCGGAATTGTCCATTTTTGTATTGCAAGCCGAGAAAGAATCAAGGAGAATTTACTGTACTTGAAAGCGAGATATCGAGTTCTAATAAAGGAAACTATGTTCTAGAACGATCGAACTATATTCCCAAATTTTTGGGCCTCAATGGTGTCGCTGGTTTTTCAGTGACGATCGTTCGAAAGTCTTTGAAACAATTTTTGTGGTGTCTCGAAAATTAGATCCTCTCGATCGATGCTCGTCTATAATATCTTTATTCCTCGTTGAAATCCGTCGATTCTGTCATATCCCGGCTCTCGCGCGTCAAACAGATAAATACAAACTTTAACCCTTTTAGTGCCGGGCGAAAAAGAGGTGCTTATGCGAACATAATCGGCCGAATTTTACGATTTTACTAGGATTTAGAAAAAGGTTCATAAAAACCAAACGAGAAGCAATATTTACATAATTCAAAAAGCAGTGTATTAAGGACAAAATAGAGAGTAAAACGGTGACGCTAATTTTTCTCTCGTAATGAACTTAGACTATTTATAACGTATTTATTTATTTATAACGCTACAAGGTGCGGGCCGATATATCGGCCTCCGGCACTAAAAGGGTTAACAAGCGCTTAAAGTTAAGTACAATTACCGACGGAAAATCGGGAAGGAATAAACGATCGTGTGAAGAACGATTTGCTCGAATCGACGATCGAATTTCCACCCGAGTATTTCCTTTCCCGGGGATGAAATTTTCCAGCCGTGAAATGATCGACGCGTAAAATACATTCGCCGTCCACAGTCTAGCGATTAACTATCGCGCGGCTCGATAACGCAATTAATTGCCATACGTTCGGTAGCGTTTGCCAAGCGCCAGCGTAATCATCCCCGAATCGATCGTGGAGCTGCATGGACACGTGTTGCAGGAACGAGTCGTGGTTGTTGTCGACGCTGAAACGAGAATCCGTGACAGAAGAACGATACTATTTAGTTAGAGTGTTCGCGGACAGCGGCGGGCCCGCGCGCGAGTTCTACGGATCATGGTTAACCCTTTCGCTACGGGCGGGTTCTCCGCCGCGGCACTTCCGCTGAACGGAGCGCCGCGACGCCGATCGTCAGCGGGAGAACCGCGGCGGAGAACCCAAGCTGCTTGAATGTTTTCGAACGAACAAATTTTTTACCAAAGGGTATTTATAAATAAAGGGTATTCCAGGGTATTTTATAATGTCTTAGCATGCGCTCTTTAATTTACAGTATGAGAGGAAATAACATTATGCAATAAAATGCATCTTATGGAGGGCCACTATAGAGGCCCAAAGTACTTCAGTGGCATCATATGGAGGGCCACTATAGTGGCCCGAAGTACCTCAGTGACACCATATGGAGGGCCACTATAGTGGCCCGTAGTACCTCAGTGGATTCATATGGAGGTCCACTATAGTGGCCCATAGTACCCCAGTGGCATCATATGGAAGGCTACTATAGTAGTCCCTAATACCTCAGTGGCATCATATGGAAGGCCACTATAGTGGCCCGTAGTACCTCAGTGCATTCATATGTAGGGCCACTATAGTGGCCTGTAGTACCTCAGTGGCACCATATGGAGGGCCACTATAGTGGCCCGTAGTACCTCAGTGGATTCATATGGAGGTCCACTATAGTGGCCCATAGTACCCCAGTGGCATCATATGGAAGGCTACTATAGTAGTCCCTAATACCTCAGTGGCATCATATGGAAGGCCACTATAGTGGCCCGTAGTACCTCAGTGCATTCATATGTAGGGCCACTATAGTGGCCTGTAGTACCTCAGTGGCATCATATGGAGGGCCACTATAGTGGCCCGTAGTACCTCAGTGGATTCATATGGAGGGCCACTATAGTGGCCCGTAGTACCTCAGTGGCATCATATGGAAGGCTACTATAGTAGTCCCTAATACCTCAGTGGATTCGTATGGAAGGCCACTATAGTGGCCCGTAGTACCCCAGTGATATCATATGGAAAGTCACTATAGTGGCCAGTAGTACCTCAGTGGCATCTTATGGAGGGCCACTATAGTGGCCCGTAGTACCTCAATGGCATCATATGGGGGGCCATTATAGTGGCCCGTAGTACTTCAGTGGCATCATATGGAAGGCCACTATAGTGGCCCGTAGTAGCGAAAGGATTAAATTTTGTTTACCTATAGAAATGGGTCGGATGAGTATCGTAGAGCTTCGGCGTGAGAGGCAGCGCGGGCTCGTCCTGGGACGGCGGTCTTATCAAAGAGAATCCCATGGCGACCGCGACGAACATCGTCGGCAGGAAAAGGCCGGCGAACAGCGTCATCCAATCCTTTCTGAAGTGCCACATTCTCTTCTTCAGCAGGGCTTTCGCCTGTCTCGTCGGGGTCGGGTTCAGGATGGGCTCGTCGTCGATCAGATCGATGTCGTCGTTCGACATCGACAATCCTGTGTGCGTCGTCGGACGGGATAATTGGATCGTTAACATTATTTCTACCGAAGGTGTCAAGATTCGTGAAGTCATAATGACAGCTTGATAATTAATAATTTTATAGTTTTATAATTAGTAATTTAACGATAGTAATAATAATTTAATAATTAACGATCTAATAATAGTAATAATTATTTCATAATTAATGATTTAACAATTAATGATCTAATAATAGTAGTAACAATTTAATAATTAATGTTCTAATAATAATTAATGATTTAACAATAGTAATAATAATTCAATAATAATAATAATAATTTCTTAACTAATAATTTAGTAATAGTAATAATTATTTCATAATTAATAATTTAACAGTAGCAATAATAATTTCGCGATCAATAATTTAATGATAACGATCGATTATTTCTATTCAACGCTATTTTTACCAAAGGGGTTGAAGGCTACCCTTTAATAATTTTTAATAAAAATGATTTGCAACAGCTAAAACAAAAATAATTCGACAGTCTTTCTTTCTCTCGTAAGGAATTATTCGTTAATAAGAATAAATCACATTAGTTGTCAGAGAGACGTTCTAACATAGCTGCGGGAATAAATTGTAGAACAAGGTCGCGATGAACGCTGAAATAACGTTTGTCCAAGAGATTCGTCGTGATCCCATGATCTAAAGATTTATTTCGCTTCCATGATCCGAGGACTCCAGCCTCCGGAGGCTGGTAAATAGAATCGAAGAAACGCGTTCGCTTCTTTCCGAGACGTTCTAAGTGGCGGAAGCGATTACGTACCAACGTGATCCACGGTGGCGACGCTGTCCTGGCTAGCTCTGATAACGGAGCCGGATCCGCTCTCGGCTCGGGAACAAAGATCCAGGAAGACTCTCTCCAAGGTGTCGCATTCCAGAGAAAAGTGGGAATAGCCCACAATTTTCCGGCTGTCCTCGAGAACCTTCGCTGCATGCGCGATACTGGAAAGCACTTCGTTTAACGAACCGCTGTCTACGCGGCAAGCCTTCGTCGTCCGGCGAAAGAATCTCGAAATTAGTTTCAACCCGAGAGTCCTTTCTCTCGACGAGCTTCACCGTACCACGAAAATTCGATCGGACTCCGGAAAATGTGATATTACGGTACTCTCTCTCTCTCTCTCTCTCTCTCTCTCTCTCTCTCTCTCTCTCTCTCTCTCTTAAACGTTATTCTAGTCGCAGTTTACGAACACCGAGAGGATGCTGTAAAAACGGTCGACGCGTGTTTCGACCTTAAATGTACAGCGATACCAATGGACTACCCCTATACAAGGTAGGACTCCGAAAATGTCTCGCAATCCGAAAGTGGCAGGTTCCTCGGGCCATTCGAAGCAACTTTTTCCTTTACAAAAATTTTCTCCGAGGCACCGTTAACGAGTTATTAACGAAAAACAGCGACCAATGAGAGGCGAGCTCGGCTGGCGCGAGGCGACCGAGCCAATGAGCGGAACTGGGCTTGGTGCGCTGGTTGGTTGGACCGCCTCGCGTCAGCCGTACTCGATTCTTATTGGTCACTGTTTTTCGTTGATAACTCGTTAACGGTGCCTCGGAGAAAATTTTTTTAAAGGAAGAAGTTGCTTCAAATGATCCGAGGAACCCGCCATTTCTGGATTGCGAGACATTTTTGGGACACTCTGTATAGGGTGAGTCACAAGTTAGTCCCCAGTTAGATTTCTCAGCCTCTTCCGACGGTCTGACGAAAAAATGGCTCGTATCAAAGTTAATCAGTATTTCACCGACAAGAAATTGCAATTGTTTATATTTAAAACCAAATCGATCTTCGATTAAAAAACAAGACCACCGTTATATTTTTAAATGAAACTAGGTCATTTAAACTTCATAGTATCGTAGGCGACGTCGAGGCGAATTCAACGACCCGCTACACGATGACCTTCGGGTGACGTTGAAGGAGGAGTTGCCATGAATCGATTGCCACAATATTTTATACAAATTTTGTATAAAATATATTTAAAAAATATATATATATAATAAATGTATATATAAAAATTGAATTAAACAAGCATTTGTAACGTATTTTCGTCCATTTGTTTACGTTTACATGCGAGTACTGGTATTATTTCAATTATTATGACAATCGAGTCACGGTAATTCTTCCTCCAACGTAGCCCGAAGGTCATCGTGTAGCAGTCCGTTGAATTCGTCTCGACGTCGTCTACAATGCTGCAACGTCGAAATATCTGCATAACAAAAGATATCGAAGATCTGGACCGACTCACTTGTTGTTGACGCCGTTCTTCCCTTGGAAAGGCAGCGCGACGGCCACCTCGTTGCCCGATATTTCGCTGGTCTCCGCGTTCGGGATCACCTCCTCGATCACGCTCTTCAGATCCTCGATCCTCTTCTTCGCAACGATATCGGCGTTCCCGTCGTGTTCGCCGGGGAACGAGACGAGCAGCCTGTAACCGCGGCCGTGCATCATCTTCAAGGACAACGGCGAGCCGGTGCACAGTATCTTCCCCTTGTGCATCACCACCACGGTGTCGCTCAGCATGTCGGCCTCGTCCAGGTGATGAGTCGACAGGATCACCGTCCTGCCGATCCTGTGCTGGTCGATCAGCCTCCAGATCCTTCGTCTCGCGGCAGGATCCACGCCCGCGCCGGGCTCGTCCAGGATCACCAGCTTCGGAGAGCCGAGGAACGCGAGGGCCACGCAGAGCCTCCTTTTCGTGCCACCCGACAGCCGATAGACGGGCTCGTGTTCCTGTTTACCCAGCTCCAAGCACGTCAGCATCCTGCGGACAACGAATTCGTCCTGTAAACGGACGCCGTGCAGGCATCGAATTGCAGGAAATTTCTTTCAATTGTAAATCCTTTAGCTCGCGCACGAAAGTGGACGATTTGGGAACAGGAGACACGATTATCAGAGCCTTGCGGCTCGTTTTTATAATTCTGGACAATTAATAATTATAAAAATAAACCGCATGGCTCGTATAATCGTATCTCCTCTTCCCAGATTGTCCATTTCCGTGGTCAATCCGAGCGTCAGTTAGGGAGACATTACTAAATTATAAAGATAAACTCCGCGAGGAATCATCGTAGACTGCAAGGGTTACTTTAAAGTTCTGTAACTTCGCGAACAAAAATCACAGCCAAGTTTCTCTTTTTTCAAATGAAAGGAGAAGGATCGAACTTCGTTCCATGGTAAACGGCATCTCCGGAAAAAATTGTACAAAGTTCGTGCGTTTCGTCAAACTTGGCAAGATCAAGATTTTCAATGTGACAAACATGAGTTGGCATTTGAAGGGTTGCAACAGCAAGGGAGTATCGAATTTAGAATCCAGAAACAGCGTCTTAAAGTAAAGGTTTCAAGCTTCGATTTAGAAAAAGAATCATCGTCCTACGATGATTTTCGGCGGAGTAATCGTCGATCGAAGTTGGCCGATCTTTCTATCAAAAATTTCTCTACGTTATAATCTTCTCGAGCAGTGTACAGTGATGTCTCCCCAACTGACGCTCAAAGTGTGCACAAAAATGGACAATTTGAGAAGAGGAGATACGGTTATTCGAGCCCTGCAACTAGTTTTTATAGTTGTTGACAATTCGAAGCCATAAAAAACGAGCCACAAGGCTCAAACAATCGTATTTCCTTTTCCAAAATTTTGTCCATTTTTCTGGACAATCTGTATTCCGTATTCCTTGGATTTTCATATTCTTCAAAATCGTACTCCTCGAAAAATTCGACCCTCGACCTTCCGAGGGTCCATTAGGAGCCTAAATACGAACACGGCGATTCCCCGAACCAATTATAACTGTTTCCAAGGCAAGAGCGGGAGCTCTGGAAAAGCGTCGTTCCGTGAAAACGGTGCATTGATAAGGACAGTTTGCCGATCGACTCACTCGTCGACGCTCCGTTGCATATTAACGCTCTCCTTGGGCCGTTTCAGCTTCGCGTAGAAGACCATGTGTTCCCTGGGCGTCAAAGTACCGATGAGCACGTTATCCTGGGGGCAGACCCCTATGTCAGGTTTGCAGTCCTCTTCACCGTTCAAACAAATCTCGCCGGTGGTCGGAGCCAGCATCCCCGTCAGCATCTTGCTGAAACGAGAGTACACACACTCGAAAGACGGGAATGAATATCCACGGTGCCGACTCGCCGGCGGAGATAGGAGGGCGCCCAACCCTTTCGCCAGACTATGAAAGGCAACGAGCTACGGCTGGGCAAACGCGAACCGGAATCGCCGTTTAGCTGATAGAATTATGACGAGTGCAAGTCGCGCGGCACTGAACGAGAGACACCTATTCTCTTGGACGTCGTCGGACGAAATTGATGGTCGAAATTTTTATCGATATCGCTTCGTGGCATCGTTGACAAGCGATCGTAGCGTAAAGAAAGACGCGAAATGAATGATTAACACTAAACCTACCAAGCGGTAACACTAACTGGCATCGCCGATGACGCCGAGGCCAGCAGAAAAATTTGCGCGTTGTCGCAACGATTATGCTGTCCGCGTCTTCGTGCTGTCAAAAATATTTTGTCCGACGATTCCTCCTCTGTCGCGAGTAAACGAAACGGTGCGATCGCGTACATCACCGACGAAAGTTGAGAAACTTTGCGCGTCGTTAACGTTTCAGTGAAACTTGGTATTTTAACACTAAACCTACCAAGCAGTAACACTAACTGTGGCATGTACTGCTTCACAAAAGTGAGAAGACCGAATTTATTTAGGATTTGTAAAGTTTTTATTATGAAACTTGCTCCAATAATATATCTTATTCAAGCGTTTTCCACGAAAGAGTCTCGGAACTTTTCAGAATTGCAAAATAAGAAAGCGGTCACTTTGACCGCGGTAGGTTTAGTGTTAAAAAAGGAAGACAAAAAGCAAAAGATAACTAAAAGGTAGAACATATTTGTTAGGAAAAAATGATCCCGTAAGAGACTCGTTCAGTCGGATAAAACAGAATAAATTTTGCATGGAATAATGAAGGGAATCCAGAAATTGGATTTAGGCCACTATTCCAGATAATGTTACAGTTATATAATAATAATAATTATTATTATATATTATATTATTATATTATTATATTATACTATATTATATATTATTATTATATTAATATAATTATTATTATATAATTAATATTACGGTTATAATATTACCTCATTTTACGCGAGCATAGATGACAAATATGCACGATTTTAATTGGTAAATGAGACAACTATACTTGGTGCCAACTGTCTCCACAATTAACTCCGTTTTTTATAATCTTCTATTTTTCGATCATTTGCCAAATAAGGCTCCCATTTATCGGTGTCAAAATTAGCTCAACATCGCCAGGAGCGTGTAAGTGAAGTGAAAAATGAACGACATCAACGTCCAAATATTGATACAGAACGTTCGAACGGCGTAATTTGACAGGGGTGAATTAAAATTCCACGGCGTAGCCGCATCTGTATTCTCAGAAATACAGAGCGACCGAGGGAAGAAATAGAATTGAATATCACAGGAGGACGTTCTGCACGCGGGATCCCATACGTGTGCACATATGAAATTCTGTTTGCACAGTCTACATTCTACGTTACAGGAGCCGGTGTCGAGAGTCTCGATTATTCGACAAAACGCTTGATAAACCGAGAGAGAGAAAAAAGCTTTATTCGCCGAGTCGAATCCGCTTCGATATTCCGTGTTACAGTAATTTCTCCCGGAAATGCCAAATTTTTGGTTGCCGCGAATTTCTCTGCGCCGGTCCTCTACGCCTATGGAATTCAATAGAATTATATTCTATTAATATTTATATTATTATATATATATATATATATATATATATATATATATATATATATATATATATATTATATATTATATTATATATATTATATATATATATATTATATTATATATATTATATATATATATTATTATAATATTTTATAGAAATATTTCACCCTATTTAAAAGGGTCGACCGTCGAATCGCGTCGCGTGGCCTCCGAATCGCCTTCGAATCGCGTCACGTGGCCTCCGAATCGCCTTCGAATGGTGGCAAAAAATTAGAAATAAAAAAGTTAAGTCATCGTTTTCATTCTAGCATCGCTACGAATTCATATTAACGTACACTGGCACGCTGGTCGCCGTCTTTTATCGCCGTCTGCCTCGAGTTTCAATGAAAACGAGCCGCGAGGCTCGCGAAGAATCGCGTCACGGTATTCTCGTATCTGCCGGTTTCGATTCCGATCTCCGAACATTTCCAGGAGAAATTACCGTAGTTATTTAGCCGTTCGGCTAATGAACATTCACTTACATGATGGTTGTCTTCCCAGCCCCGTTTCTGCCGAGAAGACTGGTGACTTCTCCCTCGCAAAGCTTCAAAGTGAAGTTATCGACGGCCACGACCTCTCCCTCGTCGCTGTTGTAGACCTTCCTCACGCCTTCGAACCTGACTCCGGCCTGCTTCTTGTTGACTACCAGGCTGCTCGAGTCGGTCTCCTCGTCTATATTACGGGCGACATTAATAGCGAATTGGTTTTCTTTGCCAAACGAGTCGTCGATCTTTCCGTTTCAGACCGAGAAGCAAGCTCTTACCCTTCGTACGGCCAATCGGATCCTCGGGGAAGCGTAACGAAACAGGCGAACGAATCGTAAAGCGTCTCGGAGGACATTATTCGATCGGCGGAGATACTTACATGCTCGATAAAATAGCTTAGATCGAAAAGAAATCCCCAAATGCATGCGAAAACGCAAAATGCAACGCGGACGCATCGATCGAGCGATGAAATCGCGATGCCGTTTTATCCGACCGTCCCTGTGCAAATTTCACTGTACAGTTACGCGTTGTATTATTATTGTTATTATTATTATTATTATTATTATTATTATTATTATTATTATCTTGTGTCGTTTATAAGAATAATAAAGGTACTCGGTCGACTCCTCGCGGAAGTTCCACGGAACCGACGGAGAACGGTTCGCGCAGATTGCAAAGCGCTCCGTGCCGGAGCTGCGCGATTTTGACGTCTTTCGAGCCGACAATTCCGTCGACCTAGGCCAAGAGGAATTTCGTAGACGCGAGCTTTCGTGCCTCCGATCGAGAAGTTTGCTGGTTTTTGTACAGCGAAGGGAAGCGGTAGTTTCTGCCGATCTCGAACGAAAGTTTGTCTCGACGAAGCGGAGAATGTATTGTTCGTCGGTAGTCTGCGAAGCTTTTCAGCGAGATACGAACTTTCTACGCCAATTGTAAGAAGTAGACGCTAAGCAAAAGCTTCTTCGGCAATGATTTTAATAGATCGGATCAATTTCGAATCGTAAATTTCACTCTGTCGCGGTCGAGTTTGTTGCGAACCTCGCGATACTCGCGATCCGACGATCGACGCTATAGGGTGTTCCAAAAATGTCTCGCAATCCGGAAATAGCGGGTTCCTCGGATCATTCGAAGCAACTTCTTCCTTTACGAAAATGTTCTCCGAGGCACCGTTAACGAGTTATCAACGAAAAACAGTGACCAATAAGAATCGAGTACGCCTGACGCGATGCGGCGCGGCCAACCAGCGCACGAAGCCCAGTTCCGCTCATTGGCTCGGTCGCCTCGCGCCAGCTGAGCTTGCCTCTCATTGGTCACTGTTTTTCGTTAATAACTCGTTAACGGTGCCTCGGAGAACATTTTCGTAAAGGAAAAAGTTGCTTCAAATGACCCGAGGAATCTGTCACTTTCAGATTGCGAGACATTTTTGCGTAGATCTTGACGGAACCCGTCAAAATGGCCGGTCACTGATTTGTTAATCTACGATACATTTATGATATCTATTTAAGATACGTTTATGAGTTATTTAGTCAAAATTTCAAAATCAGAGTAAACGTGTTATCGTTACTTTTATAAGCTGATAGAAAACAGCTGTTATTTTTGTGCTACGTTAATTCAGCGTTGAAACAGTCTGGGTTGCACAAATGCTTCGCGTGGGAGAAACTTTTCTGCGAAGCATATTCACGCGTTCCGTCAATGATGAATCTCTCGTTCGTGGTCGCCGCGCGAAGTTTCGAACACGGCGAAAACTCGATTACGCGGTGTATTATTTCAAAGAAGGGGAAGAATGAATCTTTGCCGGACGAGCTTACATAATTATCGGACTTATTTGAGACAATGGCCACTGTTCGCCGAGTAAAAAGTGGAGAGCCGATTCCAAGCAAATCCGGGAGAAAACGCGGCCATTAATACGGAAAGCTCGCGCAGCGTCCAGGATTATGAACGAAGAACAAAGGGACTCGAAAGAGTTCCTTTTTTTTAATGTACGGAGAAATAAGCGATTTCCTGTTCGTACGGGGAACTACAATGGACGACGAACGCCGATATAATACCGTTTTTTCACCAACCTGCTCCGCGATGCGTCTTTCATCCGCGATTTGCCGATTTCTTATTTTGTCGAGCTTTGTAATAAGCTGGATAAAATTCTGCGATATTCTGCGAATTTGATCAAGTCTTACGTGTGTGTGTGTGTGTGCTCTAAAAATACAGCAAATTCTCCCTAATTCACTTTCAGCTTGGAAACAAAAATGGACAATTTAAGGAGAGGAGATACGATCATTTATACAGGGTGTCCCAAAAATGTCTCGCAATCCGAAAGTAAGGGATTCCTGAGGTGATTTGAAGCAACTTTTACCTTAGCGAAAATGCAATCCGCGGCTTCGTTTACGAGTTATTAACGAAAAACAGTGACCAATCAGAGGCGAGATCATTCGGCGCGAGATGGCCGAGTCAATGAGCGGAACTGGGCTCCGTGCACTCGTTGGCTGGGCCGCCGCGCGCCAGCCGTGCTCCCCTCTTATTGGTCAGTGTTTTTCGTTAATATCTCGTAAACGAAGCCTCGGAGAAAATTTTTGCAAAGGAAAAAGTTGTTTCAAATAACCTCAGGAACCTCCCATTTCCGGATTGCGAGACATTTTCGGGACACCTGTATATTATTAAAATATATATATATATATATATATATATATATATATATATATATATATATATGTATATATATAATATATGTATCCCCCTCTTCCCTAATTTTCCATTTTTATTTCCGAGCTGAGGATCAATTGGAGGGAATTTACTGTATCCAGAAATTCTTCTAATGTCTATAAACTTTTATATTTCACCCCGTCATTTTTTTTTATCATAAATGCATAAAATCCACAGTCCGATCGTAATCGTCTTTCGATCAACCGGCAATGTTTCATTCCCTCTTAAACGAAAGTCGTGATTCAACGTGAAGTTACGAATAAAGAGAAAGCTTTTCGATAAACGATACGGATTTAATTTGCTAGCCGACGAAAGAGCAGCACGGCCAAATGCACCGGGGCAGAGAAACAACGAAAATAGCAGCACTTTTCGGCGCATGAACAATTCAGATCTAATTTAGCCGCGATGAGAGCGAGCAGACATCTTGCGCCGCGAAAAAAACTGCGGAGCGAACATAGCGCGGTCGACCGTGGGGTCTGCCGCTGCTTCCGGGAGCAACAAAAAGCCGAGCACTTTTTGGAACATAAACAATTCAAATCTTAATACACAGCGCCGATGAAACGAACGGACTTCTTGAAGCGACGTCCGATCGAAGAAAAACCGAAAGGGAAGAAATGCCATGCGTTCGGCGGTCTGTCGCAAATGTTCAGTCACTTCCGCTGCTTCGATAAACAAATGATTCGTGCAAATATTAATTGGTGCTTAGTCTTCTATAAACTCCGATATAAAAGATTAAAAAGAATCTTTTTTTAAATGAGAAGTTAAAGTTACTTTCATTTCCTAATTGTCATTATATAATATATTGTTTAGTTAATGACACTGTAGCTGACGTGAAGGCGAATTTACAGAGTTTCCCAAAATTATGTTACTTCCGGGAAATGAGAGGTTCCTGAGGTCATTCGAAGCAACTTTTTCCTTAGCGAAAATGCAATCCGCGGCTTCGTTCACGAGTTATCAACGAAAAACGTTGGCCAATGAGAGGCGAGCTCGGCTGGCGCGAGGCGGCCGAGCCAACGAGCGGTCGAAGCCCAGTTCCGCTGATTGGCTCGGCCGCCTCTCAGCAGCCGCGCTCGCCTCTCATTGGTCACTGGTTTTTCGCAAATAACTCGGAAACGAAGCCGCGGATCGCATTTTCGTAAAGGAAAAAGTTACTTGAAATGACCTGAGGAACCCCATAATTTCGGGACAGCGCGTATAAAGCGATCTTTACGTTTCAAAAAATTTCTAAAATCGTTGGCAGCAGCTAGTGCTTCGTTTGGGACCACTGTGCGGCATGCGGACCATGCTAAAAGCGGAAACAGAGGAACAAAGAGAAAGAGAAAAAGCGAGAGAAAGAGAGAGAAAAAAAGACAGAAGCCAGAGAAAAACATCGTGCGAGAGTGGTGACTAGTGCGATACCTTGGTAAGTGGTTGAAGGGTGGAGGACGTCGTTAGTGAAATAGAGGTTGTTGTAGAAGGCGAGGTAGCTCGGCCCGCCATAGAGAGACCGTGCGTCGGCCCACCATAAACTACGGGACCTCAAATCGTGAAAGCCCTTGCCTGGAAAATCATCGGCCGAATGGCTGGTCCGTCTTTCCAGTGACTCGCCGGAGGATCGTCGAGATTTCCTTTCGGGTCGCCGGTCGCCCGCGCCCAAGGTCGTCCGAGGGGCCGCGGTACTTTCTAGCTCGACCCGACCTCTCTCGCTCCCTCTCTCTCTCTCCTCCCTAACCGCGACGCGGTTGTTACGGTTCTCATGGGGGTGGGTCCGACGTTTCCACGAATCTTCGAGGACGAGTTTACGACCGCGGGCCCGGCGCACGCGAATGCATTGTCGTTACTCCGTTCCTGCAGCCTTTCTCGCTTTTATCGCGGCGCCGACGCTCGGAGGGTGCGATGAAATTCACCGAGGATACTTCCGCCCGTGTTCTTCGAGGAACTCTGCGAGACGCCAGGAATTCCGTCCACTCTCCTAAAGTAACGCTGCTTTCGGACGAGGTTGAAAAGCGCGGCGGACATTCTAATCTAACCCTCGCGATCCGACGCGCTATTATTTTCAACGAGATCGAGAGGAGGTCGGATAGATCGTTTGGACTCGCTTCGACACGTCGATCGTCCGATTAGCGGTCGTCGAAGTCCCTCGAAATCAAGGCGACTCGTTTCACCATTGGTTTACGGAACACGTCGGAGCGACGGAAAGTACTTTAACGCCATTTCCAAGGGGAATAACTTCTTCAAAATTGCTTAAGAAGACTTGAATATTTTCGAGTGTTGGACCGACTAGTTTTCTATGAAATGAGTACACGGAAAGCTTTTTAGATCATTCGTTGGAATGATAAAACAATTAAAAGATGATGTCTCTTTTCAACCGTTCTATCTGAGCTCAAAATTTAAGAAATGCATTCTGTAGATCATTTTTTAAATTTTCGTTACGGGTTCAGATAAAGAAAGTTTAATAAACGTCATTTTTTAATTTTTTGCATCATTCCAGTCAATTGCAATGTATGACCTTTGTGTATACTCATTTCAAAAAGAATTTGTATTTTTTTGAATAATCATTTCGAAAAACATCTCAAAGATATTCAAGACCTTTGAACCAATTTTAAAAAAGTTATCCTGTTCGACAAGGCGTTCACGCACTTTCCGAGGCGACTGTGTGCGTCACTAGCGGCAAGTACTATAATAACGCCGTCCAAGTTAGGTTAACAATACAGTAAATTTTCTTTTCTCCTCCTTCTCTCTCTCTCTTCTCCCTAACTGACGCCCAACTATGCAAACGAAGATGGACGATTTGGGAAGAGGATTATTATATACATATATATATAATAATATATAATATATAATATATAATATATAATATATATATATATATATAATTATTCAACCCTTTGCAGCTCGTCTTCACAATCGTCGACGATCGGCAACTATAAAAATCGTAGCTCCTCTACCGAAATTGTCGATTTTCGTTCCGAAGCTTTCGTTTCGATCAGAGGAACTTAACCGTGAGTGGGACAACAACTCGCGCTTACTAATCCCATCGACGACATTAAGGAATCCCATCCCCCGAGTGTCTCTTCGCCACCCTTCCATCGCAATCATCTTCTCCGCCCTCCGAGCATCGTCGACGAGCCCCGCGACGGTTATCGACGAGATGATGATAAAGAGGTGCTACACACAGAGCATAGAACCGGCGTCCGACGCGCGCCATCGACCGCGAGGGTGCCACCGGAAGCCGAACGTTTCGGTCGAGAGGATCGTCTTTGTGCTCGTGATCTTTCGCGATCGATTGTTCGGGTCGAACGTTCGCGGTGACGGTTAGAAAAAGAGAAGAAAAAAAAGTGAAACAAAAATCAGAGAAGAGAAGAAGTTTCGTAGAACACGGTCTACGATTTATACAGGTTGTCCCAAAAATGTCTCGCAATCCGAGATGTGTGTGTGTGTGTGTGTGTGTGTGGCGGATTCCTCGGGTCATTCGAAGCAACTTTTTCCTTTACGAAAATTTTCTCCGAGGCGCCGTTAACGAGTTATTAATGAAAAACAGTGACCAATGAGAGGCGAGCACGACTGGCGCGAGGCGACCGAGCCAATGAGCGGAACTGGGCTTCGTACGCTGGTTGGCTGGGCCGCGTCGCGTCAGCCGTACTCGATTCTTATTGGTCACTGTTTTTCGTTAATAACTCGTTAAGGGTGCCTCGGAGACAATTTTTATGAAGGAAGAAGTTGCTTCGAATGATCCGAGGAATCCGCCATTTCCGGTTTGCGAGACATTTTTGGGACAGCCTGTAGACACAACCACCACCACTAGACGTTGACAGATGGGCTCTCGAGAGGGTCCCAAAGGTGACAGCGGCTCCAGTTTCGAGGTTAAACGGAATGCTATCATTTTCTACCTGAGTTCGTGTATTTCGCGACGACGTAACCGATCGCCGCGTAGAGGCAGCCGTCGAAGGCGATCATCAGTAGGATCAATCCTAAGCTCATCGGATCCCCGGGACTGGACTCCTCCCACATGGCGGACCACTTTAGCCCGACACCTTGGACTTCCTTCCTGGCTGCGTACAGGCAACCGTAACAGAAGCTGGTCGACATGCTTAGACACTGAAACGTTCAGAAATCACGCGCGTGTGTCGCGATTACGAAATTGTCTCGATCAAAGCTTTGTATCATTTTCGTACTTTCGAGTAGGTGTTACTATATAGGGTCGGTAGGGCACCGATTGCTGCGCAGTGGCCAATTGCAGTGCCGTTGCTTTATTCTCCGGTATAATCAACTTTCTATTCGCCGAAGAAGACGTATTTCATTTTTGCGTCCTCTCTTAGTTTGCTCATTTTTCGATAAAAAAAACATTCAATACGTTTTATTCGGCCAATGTAAAGTTAATTACAATTGCAGCTACAGGACGATACAGTAATGTCTCCCTAACTGACGCTCAGACTGTCCATAGAATTAATAGTAAGCTATTCATTTCAGCGTTATTTTTAAATAAAGTTATCTCAGACAATGCCTAAGTATCTAAACGAAATCTAAACGAAAAGTAGAACATCGATTCGTACCTTTTTCCTCTTTTCTTTTACAGTAATGTCTCCCTTACTGACGCTCAGATTGTCCACAGAAATGGACAATTTGGGAAGAGGAGATACGATTATTCGCGCCTTGCGGCTTGTTTTTATAATTGTTGACAATCGATGATCATAAAAAAAACGAGCCACGGGGCTCGAACAATCGTATCTCCTCTTCCAAAATTGTCCATTTTTGTATCCATCTGAGCGTCAATTAGAGAGACATTACTGTATTAATAATTCGTTCAATAATAATCATTAATAATTCGTTCGTTAACGATGCTTTGGAGAAAATTTTCGTAAAGGAAAAAGTTACTTCGAACGATCCGAGGAATCACCCCTTTCCATACGTCACCGTAATTACGGGCAGCCCGCATAAAAGTAACCGGAAGGATCTTCCAAAATTGTTATAAAATCTGCGGTTTAGCTATTCCGGAATTCTTTAGCCGATTCGGTGCAAACGAGAATCTCGAGAACGGGAACTGTAACCTAGAAAAGTATCCGTCTTAGGTGTATAAACCGTTCGCAAACGACGATCGCCTACTATATTATTGGGTTGGCAACTAAGTAATTGCCGATTTGTTCAATGAAATAAAAAGTTTTTTTTTACTTGGGACGAAGTTTAATCTGTAATGTATTTTCCATTTTGTTCGATGACCTTTTGCCATCTCTCTGACGACTTGAAAATTCCACGCTCGTAGAAAGTCTGATCCTTTTCGGTCAAAAACTGAGTTAAGTGAGATTTTACAGCGTCATCATCGTTAAAAGTTTTACCACGAAGGGAGTTGTCCAGGGATCGAAATAAGTGGTAATCCGATGGCGCGAGATCAGGGCTATATGGTGGGTGTAACATCGATTCCCAACCAATATCCATCAATTTTTGCCGAGTGGACAAAGACGCGTGCGGCCTAGCATTGTCCTGCCGGAAAATGACACCTTTACGATCGACCAATTCTGGTCGCTTTTCCTTGACCGCTGCATTCAATTTGTCCAGTTGCTAACATTCACGGATAATAAAAAATAACATAATAATAATAATAATAATAATAATAATAATAATTTTATAACATAACATTTACGGATATCATAAAAATGGGAGTGAGAGACATCTATAACTGAAATCGACAATTACTTAGTTGCCAACCCAATGAAAGCAGCCTCCGCTAACCGGGTCGTACATCAGAGTCTTAAAAACCATCATCGGCGTGTTCAGGATATTTTTCCGGCGTCTCGCGCAATCTCCATGCAAATGAAAAAGATACGATCGGCTTATAAATGACTATTTGGGCCGGGCTGCGGTCCCGCGGCCGACGCGCGGCGATGCAAATTGCGCGTCGTGGCTCCCGACGCAATATTTCGTCCCTGAAATTGAACGGATACTTTTCCGGGCGGCCCGTAAATCGTTTCCTCTCGAGCTAGAG